GGGGGGGGGGGGGTTGGGTTGACGTGTCCTTTACGGTTAATTGATTTTTTATTTTTTATTTTTTTAAATTATAAATTCTTCATTTTGAGTCCCAGAATACACAAACCTGGTAGGGCGGGAAGCCAAAAAACAACGCAGACAGATGCCCGTAACTCTCTCTGTTCTCTCCTCTATTTTGTCACTCTCAGACTTCTCTAGGGTTTCATTTCTCTTTTCAAAATTCAAATTATCGTAACTGCACACACTCTCTCTTTCTCTTTCTTTTCAACGGATTTTCTTCTACAACCCTAGCTCTTCTAATATTTTTCAGGACTCAAGCATGAATCTGCGGAAGGGTTCTAAGGTATGGGTTGAGGATAAGAATTTGGCTTGGGTTGGAGCCCAAGTCATTGAGTTTGCTGGAAAACAGGTTCAACTGCAAACTGTCACTGGGAAGAAGGTCAAATTTCGCTCGTATATGTGTTTTCACTGTTGATGACTGGACGACTTCTGTCATTCTTATTGTTATTTTACTTATTTCGGCCTTGCTATAGGTCTTAGCTTTCCCTGGAAAGCTGTTTCCGAGGGATGATGGTGAGGAGGAGCTTGGAGGAGTTGATGATATGACTAAGTTGACGTATTTGAATGAGCCTGGAGTGCTTTATAATCTCGAGAGGAGATACGCTCTTAATGATATTTATGTGAGTGAATTTCAGTCTCTTTCTCCACAGGTCCAATTTTGTGTTTACTTAATAATGAATTGATTTTGTCTGTTTTCAAATGAATTAGGTAATTTTTCATGAAATTCCTGAATATCGACAACTGTGAAAGTTGTGTAAAATATTGTGAGACATATTTAGGACATGTTGTTCCGAGTTTGGATTGTAGTGTTGTTTTGGTCTTAAGGATGATATTGCCAGACGACTTAGCCTCAAAATGTTTTACAAGGTCTCATAAATTAATGCAAACAGAGTTCATTGCCCCTGCAACAATTGGAATTCTTGTGGACCTGTGCTGCCGTCAACCTGGAATTTGGCAGCTTGTTGGCTGCAAAGACAACAGACCACCGCGCTCTAAGTTGGATTCTAAAGGCTTAATGTACCGAAATACAGTTCTCTGGTCATACTGGATATTAGCCGTTACCCTCTAACAGGCTGCAACAGCTAAATGTCAGCTACATTTCATGATGCATATGTTGTTTAGTCATTTTAATAAGCACATCCTGATTTGGGAGCTAGTTTTGACTGCATTATAGCAGTTGGGTTACCAAACCGGCATTTCTGTATCTCACAGGGATCTCATATGACACTTTACTCACTGATTGGATACTGTTGTGACCATTTCTATTTATAACTTTTGGTATGTGACTAGAGATTTTTTTATGGAAAAATGAATTATTATTCATAATTAAAGAATTTTCAATCAAGTTCATTTTTATGCCACCAATTTCTTAGATTCCTAGTTATATTTTCATGCATGTTTTTGTGGTTATTCGAATTCCCTTCTGAAATTCGTGTAAGAATTTTTTGGTTTACCATTTATCGGAGTTTCTTCTTTTTTGTCCTTTCATAGACATACACAGGAAGCATTCTGATAGCAGTTAACCCATTTACAAAGCTTCCTCATCTTTACAATGTGCATATGATGGAGCAGTATAAGGGAGCTCCTTTTGGTGAGCTAAGTCCCCATGTTTTTGCTGTGGCTGATGTGTCATACAGGTACGTGATTTTGCTTACGTGTACGATAACTGGCGCTGATCTAATGTTTTGTATCCTGCAATGTGATTCAATTAGTTCCATTCTGTTTTATAACTCAGAGCTATGGTTAATGAGAATCGAAGCCAATCTATATTGGTAAGTGGAGAAAGTGGGGCTGGGAAAACCGAGACAACAAAGTTAATAA